CGTCGTCGTCGTCGTCGTCGTCGTCGTCGTCGTCGTCGTCGTCGTCGTCTCGTCGTCGTCTCTCTCTCTCTCTCTCTCTCTCTCTCTCTCTCTCTCTCTCTCTCTCTCTCTCTCTCTCTCTCTCTGCGCACGTTGCGCAGTAGTTGTTCTCCGTTCGCGGATTGATCGCGCTTAAACGACAGCGCAGCTCTCAAAACGCATTTCTCGACGCTTTCCTTCGTTACACAAACTATCGTAATACTGGTGGACGCTCTAAAGTGACGTAAATGGTGCGCAGCTCACCGTTACGAATTCGTTACGGTCCGCGAGCTTCTCGTACAGTTACGAATTTTATCGAGGCGTGAAATCACGCCGACTCCAACCGTGGCGATTAAAAGACGTGCGTGCACGCATGCATTATCTCATTTTCGCGCGGCGTGTTTCAACGCGCCATTCATACGTTCCGCCGATAGAAGGAAGACTTCGGTGAATGTTTCCATGCGCGACGGCGGGAGGGGGGAAACACGTGTTTTCGGAACAGCACGTGCTGCTGCGGGATGTCTCGGCGCGTTGACCTTCCACGAATCGTGCGTCGCGTTTCACGGACAGCCGAGCTCAACGGTTCACGGTTTATAGCTGTTGACATTATCGAGAGACGTTTATTGAGTAAAATCTCGGGTATTCTAGAGAGTTAAAATCAACGTGTATGCGTATTTGTGTGTGTTTCGTCAATACATTCCGCTATCTCTCCTGTTTTTCCGCTCGATCTCGCGTCGCATTGACAGTAGATACGCGAAATTCGCGAAATGTCGAGCAGCGTGTTGTAAGATTATATTAAACTCTTTGCAGTGCTAAATTCGAGATAAAGTTTTGTGACAGCTTGATTGATCGCATGATTCTTTAAGCATTCGAATCTGAACGATTATAATTGGCAATTATATTTTTAGAACTATAAAGTTTTTCAAATAGTAAAAATTTATGGAATCATGCATGTTATAGACTCGTGGATTGAATGAAAATGAGACCGAGATCTCTTTGGTCTCGGCTTATTTGTGAAAAACAATTTGAACTGCAAAGGGTTAATGTGTCATTTTGAAAGACGTTGATTTTATTTATGAGCAATAGAGATTTGTCATCGTCGCTATTTGAGGCACGAAATCGTTGCAGATAAGATAGTAATTTTATAATGATGTATTTAAAGATTAATATACCTCCGTCATTTATTGCCATTGGTTTACGCGATTTACGTACGTATACCGGTTGTCTGCATTGTCATTTCGAGGAAAATGGAATTGTATTTGGACGAGATAAATTGCAATGTAATGATTTAACTTCCTATTAAGCGCTTTCGATGTACGCTGCACTTTTGAGGATCATTTTCATTCCACCGTTACGGATATCGTTTATCTCATTAAATCTCTATCATTCGCCATAATATGCGTTCTTTAGACTGCATTGCATAATATTGCATAGAACGAACTTCGTTGATACTTGATGCTTAATGAATAATTCATAATTATCGTAATAATCATATCATCGATGAATATTAATTATATTAGTTGCAAATATTAATTATCGTACTGTTTCGCGAATGTTCATTGATCTATGGGGTATTCCATTATCTGACGTCATTTTATACATATACTATATAGTATTGGACAAACTTGTTAGAGCAGAAATAGTTTTGATAATTAACGTTTCTAAATGAAAAGCCTTTTGTGTGTGCTTTCTAATTCAACTATAAAATTAAATCTCTTAGTTGATTTTGTAATATTTTTGTTTTAACATATTTTGATTAGGAAGTATACAAAAAACAGTTAATATTGAAAATTGAAAATTTTATGAAAAAATTCTTGTCGAGCTTTAGTTAAAGAAAAATTGATTCCGCTTTGATTAAAAAGTCTGTGAAAGAACGGCGAGATTGATGGAATATACTGTATCGTATGACTTATATCTTGCGTCATTTATTGGGCACTGTAATAGGTTTGCGTAAATTTTAATTTTGTCCTTTGAGCGCGGACTATTTTTCGCACGACGGGAAACAATCGACAGATACAAGTTTTAAAAATCATGGATAGGCAGACAAAAGCCGACCATCCGTTTCCTTTTCCATCTCTCGGCCTTTTTTTGCTGAAAAAATAGAGTCAATTTTCAGGATTGGAACGGTTGATGGGTACGGATGATTCTCTATTCGCGGAACGCGAAGTAACTTGATTGACTTTTCACTTCTCGGTCAGATTTGACAATTTTCGTTGCGAAAGTCGACGTTAAAATGCCCTAGGAAATAAAAACGCAATAATCTTTAATTTGCAAGATTTTCACGCAGCAAGAAAGAATGAATTGTTATAATTATTATATGCCTATATACAATATCAAGCTTTTATATATAAAAACTGAATTTGCGATGCGTGAAATTAAAAATTTAGTGATGAGTTTTATTTTATTTTATTCTTAACTTTTTTTTATTAACCCGCAGTATGTGCGCAAAGAGCATTTTCGTGCCACTTCAAAATACAAATCCGGGTCAAAAATATATTTTTCTCCAGGGACTCGTTTATTTTCTTGCGCTAAAAAATAGTTCCATTTCGATACGAAATTGGGTGAAAAACCAGAATATTTTGATGGCACAGTGTTGTGCCCATGGGCGCAACTTCAGGATCTAACGATTCTATTGTTAACATATATGTACTGCATGCGAGTTTAGATATCATTCAAAGCGAAAATAAAAAATGTTAACATTCAATATTTTGTTTGGAGAAAATGGAAAGTAAACATATTCTATCGCGGTGTTAAAAATACAGAACAATGCGGTTATACATGCGATATATGCATTATGTCCGGTGTTAATCCCTAAATCTCTATAAATGTTGCATTAAACGAGCAATTTTTGAATAGTTGTCGATAAATCGAATTTTCCTCTTGTCTGCCTACGGTTAGGATTTACATTTGTGGTGCACAACTTATTTCTACTACAAACTAACTAGTTTCTAACGTTTTGGCGAACGAATCGAAGTGCTCCTAGTCGAAGTGCGGTTTTATATGTGAGTGTATTCGTTTTAAGGACCGTTTCAGCGAGAATTTGCATGCGAATGTAAAAGTTTACGGTCGTCCCACTCGTGGCTTACGGCACCTCGTACCTACTAGCATTCGGGGAACTTTTCTGTTTGGTGATCCCATCGTCATCACGTACCAATTTTGCGCTCTCCTAAAGACGTAACTCATTCTTCCGTATACGTACGATCGCCCGTTTTATTCTGTATAAAGTCTGACAATAAAAGAAACGTGGAATTATGCGAATTGCATGTCCGTCGTTGGTGTCCAGCCGAGCTGTTTACAGGCTGCTCTTTCCTGCCTCTCTAAGATTAATCTAATAATACGGAAGAATCGGGAATCGTACAAATTGGTGTTATGAACAGTTTAAGTTTATTTTTCTTTCAATTTATGTCATAATTTTTTCCTCTTAGTAAGAATTGCGTGATAATTTATTTATGTAACTATCAAAATTTTTTTCTTAACGAAAATTTTCTAAACGTGATACTAAAGTTGTACGGCGAAAATTAATTATTTCGAATTAAATGAACGAACAGGAAGAACGGGTGATATCTGAACCATCCAATGTCAAGATTTAAATCTGTTTGGCGCGACGAAATTGCACCTAACGTCTATAAAAGGAATAATTATACGTAATATCTTGCAATTCGCTCGCGCCGCGAGAAGTGTCGAGTTTTCACATTACGATTATCCTCGTAATTTTCCCCGGCTGGCTGCGAGAAGGACGCGCGGCGCGAGTGTCAAGTTTTCATTACGATTATCGGAAGTACTTCGCGCTCGCGCTTGCTGTCGCGACGAGAATAAAAGTAAAACGAAGGTCGCACGAATCTCGTAGGAAAAACTTTCCTACGAACGGGCTTCAATGAAAGTGTACGCGAATGGAATTTTGCTGGAGCACACGCGCGCGCGCGCGCGCTCTCTTCTCGGAGCGCAGAGTCCGGTATTTTTCTCCGGCACTGATTTATTTACGAGGCGGTCGGCTGAAATCTCGTGCGCAGAAAGGTTATTAAGAAACTCGATTCCCATCGAAGTTTATGGGGCTTCGTGAGACGTGCAACGATATATGCGACGGTGAGGGGCTTAAGAGGGAGGACATCGTGGAAACCGGACACGCGAGCTTTACGTAGGTATTGCATTTTTTCGACGATGCGTCGGCTCGGATCGATCGAGGGCGTTAAGACCTGTCTGCGCGGACAAATTATAGACGGTATACAGAATGGATGAAACATGATGGATTATCGGTGATGGTACATTCTCATCCGGTCAATCGGTATTTACACATCTCGTTCGAGGAAATGTTATTTCTCAAATATATATTTCCACGATGAAATATTCGATAAAATTCTCGATCACGGCCTCAGAGAAGTAATTAAATGCGTATTTATTTAATTCTGGTTGTAAACAAATTTTAGAACAATTTTTAATGTGCTGCGTGGAAAATATTCGCAATAATTAACGTTTGCTTAAATGAGGGCTAGTTTAATTTTTGTTATAATTATATTTTGGATAATATACTTAATTATGTTACGAATTTATTTATTAAATATTTATTAAATATTTTATTTGAAGAAAGTATATTCTATATTTATATAATAATTTCAA